ATCTTTGGGTGGTTATGTTGGTTGCTCAGGCTCACTTGTGTGAGTACAGATTTTTTGGTACATTTACACGCGTTCCAGTTGAGCACATTAAAAGTGGTCCACTTATTAAGGATGAATCTAGGGCCCACGATGATGACATAAATTGAAGTCACACGAGTTTACCGGATCTCCAACACCCGACTTTACTTTACAACGTGCGTAACAGCACTAGGAAGGGAGTAGATCAATCACGGATTGACCAGGTTGCGGCCAGTTGCTCAATTTGAAGGAATGATCCCATCGGATCCAGTAGGTCCCCTAGAATGGTTGTTAGCGGTCAACGTGTGAAGCTGCGGAGGTGCCTCCGCTATTCTAGTAAAAGGAACTTGATAAAGGGCAGCCCTGCTCCCGAGAACTGGTAATTCAATCGTTCTGGCCCCTTCTGCCTCTGCCATTGGTAAGGCATTCATAAGCCACAACGATCGTGCGACAACCCGCGTGGTCTGTTTCTTGAAATAGTATCTTGGAAATTATGGTACATGCACAACATCTCTAAGCCTTCTTGCGTTGCAAATTCTTCGGTAATGGTTTCACCCAAGGGAGAAATTCGCGACCTTGCATGTATGGTCGCAGTGGTTCCGGAATCACCAAACCCTGTGAGAGATAGATGTTAGTCTCAGGGTTAAACTACCCTAGCAGCGACGCACATCGGGTGTTTGATAGTTCTCGACAAGACAACACAGCGCACGCTCAGTGGCACACAGCGTACCGTTCAGCATATGTACATAATGCTTTCTCTCATCCGTACCCTTTTTCAGGCCATGGCGAACCTCTAGTCGTCGACTCTCTGTGTTTTCATCCAAGGTCAGGTGCCTTGTGTATTTGCGGCGAAACAGACACTTACGATAATCTGTACAATTACTGGTCGAAACAAGCTCTTTATATGCTCCTTGATAAGGAAACCAGGCCTCGAGATCATATTTTTGAGCCGCGGCTAAATTCAAAGCCCCCGACACGATAGCGATGATTCGATATGGAATCCTTAGGCTCTGGTAAAACTCCTCCGAAGTGGCAACCATCCTCTCGAATTCTGACCACGAGTCCTCGGGAGAGGTTATGAGAAACTGTAAGAACCAGTTCAAGCACCCGGAAACCAGTCCGCCGGAATCCCACTAACCTGTTCAACTTTTTCGAACTGGTGCACTCGGAATATGCCCCATGTATCTTTCCCCGACGAGCCAGCTTCCTTGCGGAAACACGTGGAATAACCGGCATATCTATCGTAGGTTGATCGACATTTACGCACGAAGAACACCAAGGTGGATCGGAACGAACCTGATGGGTAATTGCTCCTTGGGATTTTCAAACCATTCTCCCGAGTGGAACGCCGAGATAGGCTGTTCTGACGTTGCGATAAGATATTTGTCGTCCTCGTCTCCCGTAACCTTGTATAACTCCTCGTCAAACTGGTCTAATTGTGCAGTCTTCGCCATGACATCTTTCCGCATGAAGAATGGTGCTTGAACTTTTTTGTAGTTTCGCTTTCTTAAGAAATCCAATCCATAGTTGATCAGCGCTTGGTTCAGATCAACGCCATCCCCAGTCAAGAAATAGCCGCGGTGGCCAACGATCTTGGCGCCTAGAGTCAACCTGATGAGCAAATCAAAATAATAGGAAGGGCGAAGAAGGACCTCGCTCCATATCAAATGCATCGAGACGGATCATAACTTCGTGATGAGGAAGGATATCGTTCCTTTGCTCCACTTGCCCATTGGGACCGTCGGGATGCCAAGTTCGGAGCGTGACATTATCATCCTGAGTCATCCCGTCAGCTAATCGGGTCGAGTGAAGCAAGAAAGTAATAACCTCCGTCTGGCTGACAGGCACATCCTTTCCAACCAAGTTGCCAACCGAAGCGGCTTTCGCGAGTAGCACTTCTCTTGCGTCGAATGCAATTTTTTCTACTCGGGATTTCTCTTCATCTAATTGTGTCTTCTCTGCGATCAGATCGTCCGCCGGCTCTTTCGCCTTCGTCTTCGCGTAAGTCACGGTGAACGACTAGAGGGATGATATCGTGGATACCTTCCGTTTCGCCGTGATCTCCTTCTGTTTTGCGTTGATCCGTTTGCTGATCTGATTCACCTCAAAATCGTCTACAAAGCTCAATGAGGATCTCGCTCTAGGGACGTAGATCGCGATCGTAGTGACGTACTCCGGACCCATGCTCTGTAAAGTTCGATGACCTCGTCTACGGTCTCCACTGGTTCTCCTCGCTTCTTTGCGACTCCCGGATCGCATCGGGGATGCCGTCTTTCTCTGGGATGAACGACAGGACGTCTAGAGTCATCGTGTAGCTGTTGAATTTGACTCAACGTCGGTAATCGCCGAGGTCGTGTAGAATGTGTCACGTGCTTGATGCCGCTGCCAGGTACAATTTTGAAAAAGATATTCAAGGGTAATGGCTCAATGAGACGTAATGCTTCACTTCATATCATCGGGGTCTCTTCAGTAATAGTAGAAACATTTCTAAAAAGTGTTGCCGGTTAACATTCTCAATCTGTTTCTCCCCTCTTTCGAAGACATTTTATATTGAAAAATCACTTCAAGTAGAAGCATTTCTTGCGTTACCGAAACAGACATTTAGTATCGGCATCTAGTAAAAAAATCCAACAGCCTGTTCTACCGCAACTATGCGAAACAAGTCGTAACAAAATCCAGGACCCTGGGAGGTATTCAATCATCGACATTCATAGGGATGAGATCGTGAGCATCTAGCTCCGACTCTAGAACAGCAGTTTCAGAAGCTTCCACCTGTTCCAGTAGCACATCGACGTTGGACGAGATGATGAATCGACGCTTCACCTCTCCCAATACCGTCATGATTTTCTTCATCTTCCCTTCCTCCGCTGTTTCTGTTCCGAGATACACAATATGCTGGGGCTGTGTGGTCGCTGTCACCTATAACGAGACCATCGCAACATCAGCAGATTAACAATATATGCACGCGTCGAGAAGGTTCACGTCCAGCACGATCCCGGCTCCGAGCCTCATTTTCACCGCCCTACTTTTATAAACATCCAAGCGCCAATGATTCTAATAACCCCTTCGAGTGGTTCTCCATCCTCAGGCAAAACTTTTGAAACTGGAGTAGAAGGTTTCATTCATGGGCAAAAGAAGCAGGTTTTCGGGGGTGTTCGCGGTCTCTCGTGGCAGGAAGTGGCGAGCTCGTAATTTCGGGGCCCATGAGATAGAAAGGCAGCTGCCTCGCCTTTCGAAAGGAGTGGAGGCAGGCAGGGAGCCAAATATGCGAAAGGGGGACGGGATTGAAAGAAATATAAACGATTGTCTTGTGATGGCTGTATTGAAGCGAAAGAGAAGGGATCAGATCCACCGCGTTTGCAAAGTCCTTTTCCGATTTGACATCGACGTCACCAGAATCCACGAGCCCGGCATCGATGTAATCCTGTTCACCTTTGACTACCATACCTAATAAGTAAAACGGCGACGAGCATACTAAAAATGATATAAAAAAAAGACGTCGCTAATGGGTTCTTCAAACATCTTTCCGCCTCTCGCATTCTTGCAATTGTCGGCAGCTTTGATGCGTCGGAGAGTATCATGAGCCATCCAATTCAAGACCTTCACATAACTCAGACCCACAACTCCCATATTTGGTTCATCTGGATCTGAATATTGTTCGGGGTCTCTCCCCCTGCTTTGAGCCTATTGGCCCCGCAGAGAAGAGAGCGAGGGGTCCGGTGTGGGAACCGGTTCTGGTAGCGCCAGTCATGATGCGCCATATACAATGCGCATCGATAGTTCCGCTCGGCGTCCAGATCCTTCACCGGGCCCAAGTGCGAATGGGCCGGTAGCTGTCATCTCTACCGGATCAAATGACGTGCCTCGGCCTCGACCGCGACCTCGCCCACGTCCGCGTCCGCGCTCAGACGGCGAAGATTGTTCCTGTCATGAACACGATTAGTTACATCATACAACTTGAAGCATGTACACAGACCTTTTTCACTTCCTCCCTAATGCAAACGAACGTACCAACAATCCAAGTTAACCATCGCCCATTGAAAAGAAAGGAGTTGCGCACAAGTCGGCAGACTTCCTCCTGGAAAGAATTTAAGGCTGGAAGTTAAGTCTTGGTACACCCACACGCGTTGCACTTGTTGGCATAGAGAAAATGCCTGATTTCTTTCCTTGGTTGCCTACAGCTTTTGAGAATGATGGGTCTGTTTCAGGTTGTGAGAAACGGTCCCAGTGCTCTGGATGGTGTGCGTGCGGAAGGTACACCAGCAGCGACTGGTTTTCATCGCTGGGTGAGATAATACATCCGGCATTGCGTAATCTTTTCCTGGAGATAACTTAGCAAAATGTCCGACCTTGCAACCTATTTTTATCAATGACGAGGGAGGGTAAGCACTCGCGGATCAGGATATGGGCTCGTGAGGTATTCCCACGGGTGGTGCCGTCTCCTGAATGTCTAATTTCGCATTTTTGAAGTTTCTGGTTTTCAAGCTCAATTCCCTTCTCTCCGTCACTCAGCTTGGATCCGTTGCTTCCCATTTCTTAACATGCTACCAGCACGATGAGTCACCAGCGAATGTTCAAACGAGACCTTCAAAATTTGCACTTTGAGATTTTTTTTCAATGATACTTCAGGAGCCCATTTTTGGGGCCAATCCATGGAACAGGCCCTCGACAAGTGAAGATTGGAAGCTGGGAACAGAAACAAGTGGGAAATTTTTACCATTTTTAGAAACATCTCTCACATTACCAAAGGGGCTCTGAATTCCTCTCCATGCTTCACCAACTGAGCTGGAAGCTCATTATGTGAGGTCCCTAGGTTTGGTCATAACACATTTGTATGAACATGGAATTGGAGATGGGAAGACACTTCCAGGTTGTCTTCCCCACTCACAAGAGCCACTTTGTCCTGATCCCTCTGCATTGTCTGATCTCCATGACACTAGAAAGGAAGAATGAGGGCCAATCCCAAGGATTCCAAAATAACACGATGATGATGGGATTTGAACCCATGACCTCGGAGAGGAATAGCTATGATGCATTCAAAACTATCGCGTTAACCACTTCGCTACACCATCGAACTGCAGCGGGGGCCGCCTCAGAACATTATGACAGACCTCATTTGGTTTCAGTCACGCGTCGCAGCAACTATTTTCCTCGAAAACGTGCTCCCAGCCTCATCGGGGTTCAGATCGGGAGTTTCTAAAAAAGGGATTTCCCTTATCGATGAACCTACGATAGTATTTTCGGGGGGCCGAAAATATGTCTCCCCTGCCAAGTAAGTTTAGATTCCAGCACGTCTCATTCTTCTTTTGCGCAAATCCGCAAAAGTGCTACAATCTCAATGACACATTTTCCCATGGCATCTGCACGGATAACTGTACCCTGTTAAGCAGTATTAGCTCAGAGAAACAATGTAAATAATATCTAGAGGATCCAGTCAGTGGTACATTGGTGTTTGTGGGTCCCCCGTCAATATTAGAGTTATGACCAATCCTCCTGTGGGGCTGAGAGAGAGGATATGCTTGACGTCCTGCCTCGGTGCGGAAGACGCAGAGCGGTCCACGGTACAGTAGTGCGAACAATACATCGAGGCTGACAGCAGGTGAAGTTGGGAATGCGATCGGCAGAGGCGACGGACACAATACGAGTCGAAGGGAGATTAATTAGAGTCGGGAACGGAACGGACACACGTAACTTATAACCCTGTAAAAGGACCACCCTAGGCGCCTCACCATTACCAGTAGGCAGCCCGACGCGGTATATAAAATAGACCACCACCACCACCACCCATCGAGACCGGGGTCCTGGTCACGAGTCTATATGATCGAGGCGCTCTCGGACTTTGCCGATAATAAAGCTTCCGTCACCCCTACAAACGCCCACCGAATATTTGGGTGACCTTTCATTATACACTCCTGTCAGACTCTTTATGGGCAATACTGCCTCTGGTGCCACAGCACGAACTGGTGGGGCTCTTGACAGCTATGTCTCTGAGCTTGGTGCCGACATAATCTACGAGAAGAGGTATACTAGGCTTCAGCCTTCTCCATTGATGAAACACTTACTCGCCACCTACAGCTTGGGCTCTTCTCGATTCCTGAAGACTGTCAGGGGACGTCATAGAAATGGACCAGTGATTGTGAAGATGTTCATCAAACATGATCCTATGCTGAGCCTGAGAACCTATCAAAAGCGATTGAAGGGTATGTCTTAAATTTACAGTGTTATAATCTGTTGCTGGACATTTTCAAAGCCGAACGCGAAGCATTGACGGATATACCCAACATATACAATTATCAGTCCTTCCTCGAAACTGAACGCGCCGGTTACATTATTCGGCAATGGCTTGCCAATAATTTGTATGATCGCATCAGGTCAGCGGATTTGTTTTTCTCGCTTCGTTCCTGTACGAAGAAAACCCCATATTCCAAATGTAGTACTCGACCATTTCTGAGTCTTGTGGAGAAGAAGTGGATCGCCTTTCAGCTGGTGCACGCGATGAAAGATGTTCGTGCTCGCAAGGTTCGTAGTGTGATTCTGCAATGGCTGCCTTATCCACATAGCAACATTTAAGGTCGCTCATGGGGACATCAAGTCGGAAAATATTCTAGTCACTTCATGGAACTGGGTCTATATCACGGATTTTGCGTCCTTCAAACCCGTCCATCTTCCAGAGGACGATCCAGCAGATTATTCATTCTATTTCGATGCTTCTGGCCGTCGAACGTGTTATATTGCTCCGGAACGTTTCTATGCCGCTGACGACAAGTCTGCCGACCGGGAAGGTCCTGTAACAGAGGCAATGGATGTTTTCAGCTTGGGTTGCGTGCTAGCCGAACTATTTCTGGATGGCCGCGATACGTTTACCCTGTCGCAATTGTTTAAATATCGTGCGAAAGAATTGAACATGGAGAGTCATCTCTCTGCAATTGAGGATGATAGTATACGGGTTTGTTTCTCCCACCGACATATACTGCCTCTACTGATTGTACATCCCGTAGTCCCTCATATCTCAAATGATTACATTAGACCCTGCAGCTCGCCCTTCGTTCGAAGATCTCTTGGATCACGCACGCGATGTAGCCTTTCCTGAATCATTTTATTCTTTTCTCCATAATTACGTTATCGCCATTAATGAAACTTCTTCTCCATCCCCATTCACCAAACCAGTACCCCTCAAGACAGGTGTAGAGATCCTTCCCGGAACCGCAACCGAACATTGGAATACTATTCCAACCGACTCTGATCACAGAATTGAGCGGATATGGGCTGACTTCGACAGTGTAGAGCCCCTATTGGCCGATGAACGAGTGGAGGAAACAGTAACGGAACTCGTTCCGCGAACACCTGTCTCGCAGCTTAGTAGCCGTGCATTCCAGGTACAGTATATTCATAGTTACACCTGTGGCAAGACAGCACTCAATTGATTTATTGGAGCAGGAGATCTTTCCCGTCGAAGTCCACATCCCAAATCGAAGTTCACAATTAAGGAAGATGCTCGGCTCAGGGCGGCAGGCCGCGACGGAAGGTAAGTAGGGTATCTCTATCTTGAAATTCTGGTATCATTACTCGGAGCATCCTCTTAGATGGTCCCGCCCTCATCATTTTGTCATTGGTCTCCGCCAATGTCCGTAATTGCGCATCACCTGGCTCGAAAGTCAAGGCCCTCGATCTACTATTAGCCTTGGCACCGTTTCTTACCGATGAGAGCAAGTTGGACAGGCTCGTGCCATACGTGGTGGATTTGCTCAAAGATGACGTAGCTATCGTTCGGGCTTCTGCGATCCGGACGTTGACCCAAGTCGTATGTTGTATCCCTCTCTGGGTGTCTTTTTGTCCAGAACTCAGTCTAAGGGGGTCTGTCCCATAGGTGATGCTAGTGTCGGCTATTACTGCTTCAAATGCATCCCTATTCCCCGAATATATTCTTCCGAACGCACGATACATCGGACGTGACTCTGAAGTGATGGTACGGGCAATGTACGCTCAATGTCTTGTTCCTCTGGGGGAGGCCGGCATTCGATTCCTTGAAATGAGCCAGGCCATCAAGGCTCATGGTACCGTGAAGTCAAGAGGGGCACACGACTTCGATGCTACTTTCGAGGAGGTCGCACTACATTCTATCTGTAGAGGGGCGTGAGCTGACCGGAATGAATAGGATTCATACGACACTAGACTCCGCGATCTTCAACTGGAGATAGAGGAGCAGATTGTCGGCCTTCTAGTGGACCCCTCAAGCGTAGTCAAGAGAGCGATTTTGCACGATACTCCTGCCCTCTGTGTGTTCTTTGGCCGCCAGAAGACGAACGACGTAGTGCTCAGTCATATGATCACCTACTTGAACGATCGGGATTGGCTCCTTCGATACGCATTCTTTGATAGCATCGTAGCCGTTGCCGCTTGCGTCGGCTCTCGAAGCCTGGAGGAATACATCTTACCTCTAATGATTCAAGCGTTGTCCGGTTAGTTGTTTGACATCGAGGAGAATTTTCGCCCTGATCTTGCTTGTCTCAGACATGGAAGAGACAGTGGTCGCAAAGGTTTTGAACTCCCTTACAAGCCTTGCTGAGCTCGGATTATTTGAGAAACTTCGAATCTGGGAACTCATGAGCGCAGCGACAGGATTTCTGTATCACCCAAATATCTGGATCCGAGAAGGTAAATGAACGACGTTTACAAAGGCAGATTTCTTTTGATACGAATTCGGGACCAACTTCCAGGTGCCGCCGCGTTTATCTCGTCTTCAGCAAAGCACCTGCCTGTAACAGATGTGTGGTGCATCCTCTATCCGTCACTTCGACCCTTACTCCGATCCGATATCCGGGCAATTTCTGAGCAGAGTCTCCTGATGACCGTGAAACCACATGTAAGTAGACCACAGCGTTCCCTGTACGTCTCTGACGAATCTTATCCAGCTTCCCCGAGCAATCTTCGATGCTGCGGTGGCATGGGCGATGAAAGCTGATAACACACTTTTCTGGAACCCTCAGCAGTATCGTACCAAGATTTCGAAGTTTGATGTTGCGAAAGACTCGTCCAATACACCCCGCAAAGGCAAAACATCTTCAAGATCGGGTGCGCCTCGTTCAGACGAGTGAGTCCGCCCCTATATGCCATGTTCTATGGTACGAATAGCCTTCCCTTCACAGGGATAATACACAACTGCACCGATTGGAGCAGGTAGGCATGATTCCTGCGACGAGTCTAAGATCATTCTCTTGCGTGACTATATCCTCAAATTGGCCCAAACCACACGCAGGTTTGTTTCGCTCAGTTTCTCCCTCTCTCGTGCTGTTTCTAATGTTTAGCCTCACAGCTTTGCAAGTCGATCCCCTGTAGAAATACTGGGAATTGAATTAGCAAAGATTACTACAGTCGGGTTGCAGACTCTCGGCATTGTGCCACAAACTGTCTTTCTTAATGGGCAGGATTCAAGTTCTGCTACGGGTCCCGACGATCTGATGCATCAAGACGGACCGTCAGCGACAAACGCCTCTCTTACTTATCCAGTAATCGAAATTCTCGTGCTGGAAGCTTCGATCATGCAGGGCCTTATGGAGATCTTCGTCGTAAGTTGGCGCAGATGGATGGATCTGTGCTGTCCTTGAACCCACCAGCGTCTTCGAATTCACCTCGCATCCCAGAATCGGACAAGGGGGCGTTATCGCCTCGACCTGCCTCATCCCTTGCAGAGACCGATGTCTCTCGCGACTTCCTTGGCATCACAAACAGACCCTCAAGCCCTTCCGCCGAGTCCTTGATATCAAATCAAACCACTGCCGTACATTCTGCACTCCACACTTCAAAGCGCGGCATTCATGTTGGTAATGGTCGCAAAGCCGCACCTGCTGTGGGTACCGTCAATACTACAGCTACTGCGACTGGAGTTCTTGAGGCTGCAGTTAAACTACGTGCCGACCTGGAACATGATGAAGCCTCTGGTCGTTCTTCTCCAATGCACATGGGGGGTCCTGGCCGAAGAGAAAGTAAGCTCCGGATGGCATTTCCAGCTCCGCCGTCTACAACCTATGGTGCGTAACGATCTACGTATCAGTTTTGGTATACCGAGCTTATA